GTAGTAACAATTAATTAAAGGCATTTTGACTGTATAAGGAGTAATTAAATATTTTAAATCAACCTATTTAATTTTTGTAAAAATACATTTTAAATTATATTCTTTTATTTAAATTGATATAATTTTTTTAAAAAGTTATAATACATTTCATTATAAATTTTAACATTTAAAATTTAAATTAAATCAACTAAAATTTATTATTAAATTAATTCCCATTAAATGAATTTGACTATTATTTTAAAGTTAATTGACGATTATTTTGAAACGGAGCATGTAAATTCAAAGGTTATTAGCATAGAGTATTTTTGCACGGCATTTGCGTGAAATTAATAAACGAGGGCCAAAAATGGAACAAAAAGGGTAAATTCGTTATTTCGGAAAAATCATCGCACAAGTGCCAACTTAAATATGGTCACACTCACTCGTGTAGATTCCCAATAAAAATCAGCCACGTCAAGTTAATGACACTCTTATGACAGATGGCACATTTTGATTCGTTTACTCTATTTAATTCTTCCACGTCAGATTAAACCCAAACGCTGCCCTACGTATCTACCGAAAATAACTCTCCACAGTATAAAAGAGCGTTCGTCAGAGATCTCACAGTCAGTATTTTCCATCTCACACAATAGTGGCCATGGCTACTCGACGAATGAAAAGCCCTAGCTCTCTCCATCTCGTTGCTGTGTTCTCTCTACTAGTAGTCGCCGCCGCCGCCGAAGTTTTCTTCCAGGAAAGCTTCAATGGTAAAAAAATTTATCCATTTTTTAATTAATTTAGTCAATTGATTGGATCAACTTCTGTGATCCATTTGATTTTGGAGTGAATTTGTGGAAACGATGAGGAGTGTGAAAGATCCGAGCTTAATTTTTTGTTTTTAGTTTGATCTGGGTGAAGCTTGAAGTTTCGGAGTAGATCTGTTAATTTTAAGATGATATATGTAGATCGGAATGTTGTTGTAGCATTTTAGGTTTTTGAATTCTATGTCTGTGACTCTGATTTATAATTTTTTGAATGTTTATATGAGTCTGAGTGCCATCGACTATATCGACATTGTCTCTGTGAAAGAGCATACTCCATTTGCGTTTATTTTCTTGCGATGGAACTGGACTGATTGGTAATTGGTAGAACTCTTAGATCTTATCCGGTTTGCTATATGATTTAAACAATCATGTCTTAACACTCTGACTAGCTAATATTCTATCTATATATTATACAGAATAAAATTTTGAAGGATCACGATTATTACAATTACATGGATAAAGTTGATTTTTGACATTTTCTAGTATAACTAGAGGATGCACTCTTTTATTGTTTTCATATACAATGTTTGTTGGCAGTTTGTTTATTTGTTGACTGGAAATCAAAATAGTTAGCATTTATTAATTATATGTTTGACTGAATTAGCAATTAATGTTAGTGTTAGACACTGAAGTACATTAATGTTTCCTAGTTACTGAATTACTGTGAAATCTATGCTTATTAGCTGCTGATATTCTGTGGTCTATTCTTCTGCATTAGAATTATCAAGTTTAAATGTGTCAAATTATTCTCTTATGTTGGGCACTGTGAGGCTGATAAGTTTTGCTTCTTGAACTTTTAGATGGTTGGGAAAGCAGGTGGGTAAAATCTGAATGGAAGAAAGATGAAAACATGGCTGGAGAGTGGAATCACACCTCTGGGAAGTGGAATGGTGACGCCAATGACAAAGGTCTGCAATCTCCCCCTAATTAGAGCCTAGTTTCTTCAAGCTATAAGCCTTTTCATATCTGACTCTTTCATCTGGAGATGAATCTTAAAAATAATAACATCTATTTACTTATTCTATATTTCAGGTATTCAGACCAGTGAAGACTACAGGTTCTACGCCATTTCGGCTGAGTTCCCTGAATTTAGTAACAAGGGAAAGAACTTAGTGTTCCAGTTCTCTGTTAAGCATGAGCAGAAGCTTGACTGTGGTGGTGGGTACATGAAGTTGCTTAGTGGAGACGTTGACCAAAAGAAATTCGGTGGTGACACTCCCTACAGGTTGCACATAATATTTTCTTGTTACTTTTTTTTAGCATAGAAGTATTTATATGTTTTGAAGCATGTTTTTACTTTTAAAAATGTTCCGGAACTCGTGAATTGAGTTTTTGATAAATGTTTCCATGCAGTATCATGTTTGGACCAGACATCTGTGGCTACAGTACCAAGAAAGTCCATGCTATTCTCACTTATAACGAGACAAACCATTTGATCAAGAAGGAAGTCCCATGTGAGACTGATCAGCTGACCCATGTCTACACTTTCATCCTCCGTCCTGATGCCACATACAGTATTCTCATTGACAATGTGGAGAAACAGTCTGGTAGCTTGTACTCTGATTGGGACATTCTCCCACCAAAGAAGATCAAGGATCCAAGTGCCAAGAAAGTAATTCCCAGTGCAACACATTTTCAGAGTCGATTGATATTTATCTTTTTGATAGTATTATTGATCAAGTTACATGTTTATTGCAGCCTGAAGATTGGGATGACAAGGAATTCATTGATGATCCCGAGGATAAGAAGCCAGAGGTATCCTTTGTATATTTTGAGTGGTTTGTCTGTGCCATAAAAAGAAAATGGAGGAAGATGATGATCAACTAATTCGATCTGTAATAACTGCAGGGCTATGATGACATTCCAGAGGAGATAACTGATCCTGAAGCCAAGAAGGTAACCAGTTGAGCTTTCCTTATATAAGTCTTATATTAATACCTGGAATATAGAGTAAATTTTGTAATTACTGGGCCTTTTTTAATTTGCAGCCAGAGGACTGGGATGATGAAGAAGATGGTGAATGGACAGCCCCAACCATCCCCAATCCAGAGTACAAGGGCCCATGGAAGGCAAAGGTTTGTGGAGTCTGAACATTATACTTGAATGACTTGTCCCTGAGAATGGTGCCTAATGCTTAGTCTTGTCTTTTCAGAAAATCAAGAACCCCAACTACAAGGGAAAGTGGAAGGCTCCTATGATTGACAACCCAGGTCCTTTTAGTTGTCAATACTCCATCTATATATTTTTTTAGCTGACTTTTAGTATCACAATTATTGATATCTATGCTGTTTTTTTCTCTAGACTTCAAGGATGACCCAGATCTATATGTTTTCCCAAAATTGAAGTATGTTGGAGTGGAGCTGTGGCAAGTAAGGAATTTTCCTTTTCTTGTGTGATCTGCTGTTAAATTACAGCATTAACAATTTTTATTTACTGCATTTGCACTTAATTGACGTAAGCATAATGTATTTTGCAGGTGAAATCTGGAACTTTGTTTGACAATGTTGTGATATGCGATGATCCAGAGTTTGCCAAGTCAATTGCAGAGGAAACATGGGGAAAGCAGAAAGATGTATGTGGTTCCTTCCTTATTCTCTTAGGGTAGTCATAATAGAATTATTGAGTCTTAATGAAAACACGTAAGGGCAAAGCCTGATCATGGTGATTATTTGGTCAGGATATAAGTGAATATTATCTTTAATTATGCAGGCTGAAAAGGCTGCTTTTGAGGAAGCAGAAAAGAAGAGAGAGGAGGAGGAATCAAAGAATGCTCCAGCTGAATCTGATGTAAGCCTCTAAATTTTCTTTGGAAAACCCTTCCTTACTCTATCAGTAAGCTGTGTTGTACCTCCTTGTCTTGCTCTTATGATGTTAACGTTTTCTCAGGCCGATGAAGATGACGAGGCTGATGAGGCTGATTCAGATGATGCTGATGACAAGTCTGACTCCAAGGATGAGGACACACATGTAAGAATTGACAAGTTGTTATAACTTTCAAAACAATGGTGGCAGCAATCTTTCTTCTGGTTCTCAATCTGACAGTGTGTACCCTTTTTTTTGCAGGATGAACTGTAAGAGCCAAGCATTTTGATTCAACTGACAAAGAAGCTTACTTGGCAGTTCCCGGAAGATTTCGTCCTCCCTCCCCCCCTTTTTTTTCCTTATTAGTGAATTAGTAGCCCCTTCCCAATTTTAGTGAAAAGACAGAGATTGAGGGTGCATGAGGTCTTATATGGCTGATTGCTTTGATGTCATTGGGACTCGGCCGTTAGAAATACATGTTTGGTTTTGAGTAGAATTTTAAACTAAATGGTGTTGAAATTACACTAGTTAATTTCTACCTAATTTTCTATTTAAATTGCTCCTTGTCTTCGATTATTTACTGTTTGCTGCTGTATTTTATTGCTTGAAGTAAGTAAATCTGTTAATCGAGTGTAATATTCATAACTCTTCCGATACAACTTGACCAGTAAAATCGGATACAATCATTTCATTCTCACACAATAATTAGGATTTATTCCTCTGCTGACTATTATGTCCTATCCAGAAATAAATACTCGGATTTATGTAAAAGTAAGCTCAACTTATTCTTAACTACAAATAAACCTGACTAAAATATTGCGAGAAAAAATGAGTTTAGCTCCACGTCTTACCTCCTTGCGGTATTAGCTTTGTTGCTTGAATCCATCCTGTCCATAACAAGTTTCTACAGTTACAAATATTGCAACCTATTTATGCAGGGAAAAAAATTCAAAAGTAACTACGTTTATTTGCAAAAACTAGTTATGAGTAAAAGAGGTAGGGAGTTCATTACTGTAAAACAATAGGTTTTGTCAGCTTCACCTCACAGCCAGGTCACAAACATCAACATCTGCTCCGGAGGTTGTCCGCAGTCGTCATCATCAACCACCAAAACCTTCTTTCCTTTTAAGTCCTTGCTATTACTCTTTTTGTTACCATCAGGTATCCCAATGTCATTGAGTTGGATATTACTTTTTCGATTCTCAGATACAAGTGTCTAAGCACTTGATATAAAAAAAATTTGACATTGTAATGGTCTCGAAAAAGCATAATCAAAAGGAGGAAGAAGTTTTGGCGTAACATTATCTTGCAACAAGACAGACAACCTTGCAAGTAAGATTCTTGAAGCTAAGTGCTAACTACAGATGGACTCGATTATTAAAAGTATAACAGTGACCTTCTGCAATGAGGGATGACAACCATAACTGTACATTTTGCAGTTATTACACAAAAATACACTTCATAAATTGCCTCTTTAACATTTAAAAACCAACCATACAATTATTAACCAAGTTTGATTCAAAAGGTACATAAATCAAGGAAAAAACACAACCCTGCCTACTTAATTTTACATTAGACGAACAATTACAAATTCCATAACGTACAACAAATCTATTTGCTTCTGCCATCAGTTTTTGGCTTTTTCACAATTAGGACTGGACACTTCACATTCTGCGCGCAGTGGTTGCTCACACTCCCAAGAAAAGCCCTGTTATTCATATCAATAATTAATTAGTTTAAGAGTTAACATAGACACAGTTAGTAGAGATGATGATAAAATTAGCTGATGAATTCATAACCCCAGTTCATCCAAAGTTGATTTGCCCATTTTTTTTTCCTTCACCAAACAAATTAGGACAACAAAAAATGCTCCAATCATTTTATACGAGGCTCTTTTTGTAATTAGCTCTAAATAGATGGACAAAATTCAAGTACCATTGTGAGCATGCTATACATATTTTAGCCATAATAAATTGAGGAAAATTTGTGCTCTTGACAAATCTTGATTATCATCGTAATGATTTTTAACTAAATATATCTAGACTTCAATCTAATTAAAATGTACACATATCAATCTTAATTGTCGTTCACATATGATACACTATGTACGAGTTTGGTTAAAAAGTTGTTTTAACATGTTACGGCGTGAATTCAAATTTAATCTCGATAGTCTGGGAAAAACAAAAAGAAAAAACATTGAACTAAAGTCTACCTCTTTATGACACCATAGCCATGGCTTCCCATGACGAGCATGTCGACGTGCAACTTCTCCGCCGCCTGACAGATCACGTCCCTAGCATCACCATGCTCTACAATCGTCTCCACCTTAACCTGTATACGACGCAGCAACACACAAGCATTACCTCTCTACTAAAATTGACCAATTTACCCTTCATTCATCACTAAATCTACAAAAAAACTAACCCCATTCAAAGCCTCGCAGGCTCTTTTCGCCTTCTCCATAACACACTGTGCAACTCCAGAGCTGTACCTCTCCATGGTCGCCAATATATCAGATGAAAACAAATACCCTGAGATTTCAACAAAATTACGAGAACTCGCCAATTCAATTAATCACATAACAATAATTAATATACTCATACTGAACTTTTATTTACCTTCAGGGTGATCTTTCTCACCTGATCCGTCTAAGGTAGAGTAAACAGCTCGAGGTGGTACTGAGTAGAGAAGGATAAGGGTATCATTGGAATTCCCGGTGAGTATGTTCTCTATACACCATGAAAGAGCGTAAATGCTCTCTTCACTCTCATCTACGGCGATTAAGATCTTGCGTTCCTTTGCTGCTACATCAGCCATCCTTTGTTTAATCGACGATACTATAATATGCTAATAGTAATTTGAATTCAGAACTCACAACTTTGGGAATTTTTAGCTGATTTTAGGAAAGTTAAGGGAATCAATATTTATAGTTTTGTCAGTGGACGGAATTTGGAGAATTGGAAGGGACTGGGGGCGGCAGCGGGTGGATTGAAAAAACTGTTGGCGGTTTGTGGTTTTAATTATTTGGTTTTGAGTTAATCAGTTTGACCAATTGATTGACGTGTTTGTGCATAGGATCACAAAGAAAGGAGTAGGCGTGGCATAAAAAAACGTTGCTATCTTTGCCATTAGTACTATCATGGCGATTGTAAGCTGCTGTTTACATCAGTTTTTTTATTATAAAACACTAAATTTGATGTTAATTATAATTTTATTATTAAATTATTAATAATTTTAGAAACATTTATTTATTTGATTGATTAATTTTAAATATATTCAGGTCACTCTTTCTTATCACAAAATATAGTATAGTATGTGATATCAAATTTTGAATGTCATATGAATCTTAATAAAAAAGTCAAGAAAAGTACTTGATTAAAATTTACAGGTGTTTTCACTTTTGTTGTAAGATCGAGGATGCATTTAAGTTTAATTAATCAAGTAAATCAATGTTTCTAAAGTTGATAATAGTATAGGGACAAAACTAATAATTTACGCCAGTATTTGAGGGTTTTTTCAATATTTGTGACTTTATAACTTCATATCAAACATATTGTGGTATGAATTTTGAAAGTGAAATTAAGTTATTTTTGTAGCTAGTTGAAGTTATATTTAATAAACGGTTTGAATAAATTATATTATACGAAATTATCTGATACAAATTTTAAATTCTACAAACTCGAAACCTTATTTCACAAAATTATCACTGAATATTGATTGCGAATGGTATTTAACTAAAATTATAGCTATGATGATAAATTAACCAATATTTATTTTCTTAACCATGTAATTTCTACTTTATTGATTTTTTATTTTCTTTTCTCTCTCATTCTTTGTGTAAAAATAAGAGACGTAAAAACAATGAAGTGTGAATATAAAAATATTAGAAAGTTGAAAAATTAAAATTCATTTTTTCGGCTATATTATAATTTAATTTTATATTTGCAAAAAAATGTTTGGGGCATCAATATTTGTTAAAAATAATAAAGTAAAAAAATATATTTGATCATCAAAAATAAAAATAATAAATTAAAGTTAATTAATGAATAAAACAGTAAAAACATGTGAAATGGAGTAAATATATCCCTACTTTTTTTAAAAAAAATAAAAAATAAAAAATATTTTTTTCATTAAAACAAAGATATATATAAATTATTTGTATAATTATTATTATAAAAATATATACAAATTACTTTTATAATAAAAATGTATTTCCCTTTTTATAATTTGTTTTATACACATTTTATTTTGCTCACCAAAAAGTACAAATCCAAAATTTCTAATACAAAATTGGTTTACATTTTTGTGATTTTTTTTTTCCTTCAAAATTAATCGGAGGAATAAGTAGTTGGTTCATCCAACCAACAAAAGAACACACAACACAGAAAAGCTACAAGGGAACTCTCACTTAGTTAACTCCGCCACCTCCAACGGAGCTCTCAAAGCTCAAACATTATATATCTTCCCCTGCTCCCACATTTCAATCTCCACAGAAACCCTAACATTCACAATGCAATCTTCAATTTCTCTATCGCTCTCTTCTCCATCCACGATCTGCAGATCGGACTCATCCGCCGCCGTTTCCAATGTCAATGTTAATCTGTTGAATCCACGATCACTTCGATTCTGCGGTCTTAGAAGGGAGGCTTTTGGGTTGAATTCATCTCTCTCTACGCATCGTATCCAGTCATTATCTAATGCTACGAGGCGTCCTTGTTCCAACAGAATCGTGGCTTCTTCGGCTGGAAATGGAGCTGCTTCTAAGGGCTTTGATTATGATCTGGTTATTATTGGAGCTGGTGTTGGTGGTCATGGTGCTGCTCTTCATGCCGTCGAGAAGGTAAATCTAGTTTTGTGTCGTTTAATTGTGTTAGTACAAGCTGATACTGATGCCATGCTGTGTTTAGTTACCGAATACTTCAAACTGCTTACACTCAGGTGATTTCAGTAAGTTGAATTCGAACATATCTTGCTCTGTTTCGGTTGATATTACTTGTTTAGCTGCCGTTCTTTATTTGTCCCCACTCCATATGCTTTTTTTTCTTTCTAGAGCTAACATTTTCTACCTAACAATAGAAGGAATTATTAGCTGGAATAGGTGCTTTATTTTCTTTATTACTGCATTGTCACTAAGGAAGAATCATTTGTTGAAAATTGGATCTTTAAGCGTGGGCTTACAAAAGAAAGCACGCGGGAGAAAAATAAAATGTAGAAATGTCAATATAAACACATTATAGTTATTTGGACAAAAAATGGAAAAAAATATCATTAAGCTATATATTGTGTTGTGCCTAAACCCGTTAATGAAGGTGTAGAGGCCTCAACAGATCGATGCCTACACTAAAATGCCAATTAAGCGAGGAATGCACCACACGCTGGACTTCACTGAGCTTCGGGCTTAAGCACGCCTTAAGTGAGCCTTTATAACATTGGTGTGAACTCCTATCAAACATCACTTTGCCAGCATGCCCTTAATGCTGAAGAATACAATCTTACCAGTTTCAAAAAAAAACAAACATCACTTTCACTTCTATAACACTATCCAAATAATTGTGAGATCATCAAAGCCTGGAGGGGATGGGAGCGTAGGTTTATCAGGATGGTTCCTGTTATTTTTCTACTTTATAGTGTGCATAATTACCTAAAATTCTTTGCAGGGTTTGAAAACTGCTATCATTGAAGGGGACGTCGTTGGAGGTACATGTGTAAATAGGGGTTGTGTTCCTTCCAAAGCCCTTCTAGCTGTGAGTGGTCGCATGCGGGAGCTTCAGAATGAACATCATATGAAGTCTTTTGGTCTACAGGTATTTCTTGTTCATGCTCCTAGAAGCCTAATGAACACCACATGAAGTCTTTTGATTACAGGTGTTTCTTTTCTTGATCCTAGAAACCTATCTAACATGTTTAGGTTTTGACACGGGGTACTAAGATAGCATGTGCCTGTTAACATAATTGTTTGATTATTTGAATCTTTTGTTGCATAATCACAACACTAGACTTCATGAGGTGATGCAACATGGAATAGTTTTGGAGCAAAACTATGAAATAAGTACTAATTTCTGAACTTCATATTGGCACTGGGTATGATATGTCCCATATCTAATTGCTATTATAATTTTGGGAGCATCCTTATTTTGGAGATGACACCCAGAAATTGTGTGTATTGGGATGGATGAACATGGATATTTCCGCCTGAATGTAATTTTAACAAAAAATATGGTTTTATTGACTATGTTTGGAGATGCACCTCTTGTTTCTAATTTGTGTGATGCTTCCATATTCAAATGATTTTCGATAAGGATGTAGGATGACTTCAATTCATAGCCTATACTATTTAAATTTTAAAAAACTGACAGAACGTGTGTGCTTACTTTTTGCTTTTGTTACCACAGTTGTTAATAATAAGTTCTTATATTTTCTTTATTTTAAACATACAATGAAAAAATGTGATAAAGACTGCATATATCTTAGTACCACTGTTCTTATCTGATCCCCATATCTCAAAAGCTTTTGTACTTCCATGTCATAATCGTACTGGATAGTTGATACTATACTTGCATCTAAACCTGTATTACATAGAAAACAAGTCAAAACTGGAAAATCTGATTTTTTGTATTTACCCTAATATTTGAGAAATACAGATCATAAATAAGGGTCGTTTTGTACCTCTCTTTTTAGGGGGTGTACCGTGTATATAGCGAAACAGTGATCACTGAACTCCCATAACAGTGACTTTCTAAATCTTTTATAAATCAAGGATATAGGAGTAAAAGTATATGAAAAATTAATTCATGTAAACTACAACATTCAACATGTGTTTCAGGTACCTACTTATTGTGTTAAAATGAACTTAACACTATGCATTGTTTGTTAATTAAGTTGCATCTAGAAGGAGGCTTGAGGGTCCCCTAATGTAACTTACTCCGTCTTTCACACGTTTTTTATGTCTTTCACTTATCTTCATGTAAGGTTGCTGCCGCGGGATATGACAGACAGGGTGTTGCTGATCATGCAAATAATTTGGCCTCCAAGATTCGTAGTAATTTGACCAATTCAATGAAATCCCTTGGTGTGGATATATTAACAGGTTTTGGGACAGTTTTGGTACGTTTATATTTTCCAGAACTATTATCTACTACTAACCTGTGTATGTAACCCATTGGATTTTGATGATGGAGCTTTTGTTGTGCTTTTTCAGGGTCCACAAAAGGTCAAATATGGAGATACTGTAATAACAGCAAAGGATATTATTATTGCTACTGGTTCTGTCCCCTTGGTGCCCAAAGGCATCGAGGTTGATGGTAGGTGCTTTCCTCTTAATTATTGTAAAGAACTGAATTATTGAATTGCAAGTCTTTTTTCTGTATGAATTACTGAAGGTTGCAGACTGCAGATAGCTTGTATTACTTGACTGTCATTGTAAAGAAGGTTTTGCATCAAGATTTTGAATTAATTTTTCTACAATTACTTGAGTTCATCTATGTTGAGTTGCTGGTAGAGATTTAGACATGAGATATAGCACACACATATATTTAACACCAGAAGCTATTTCGTAGACAAAGGAATCAACATCCTCATCAAGAGAACGGAATTAGCATTAGATTTTGTCATGCCTAGTCATTCTCGTTCTCTTCTTGTTGAAAGCATCAATGACAATTATGTATATACAGCCCCTGGGCTTTGGTCTAGTGGTATGAGTGCAATGTGTGATCTGTTGGTTTAGCTGAGTGTCAGAGGTACCAACCGTATCCTTCCTTTAAGTGGAGAAGGGTAGAGGGTCGGGCCCATTATCCACCTAGTTTTGAACCGTGCACCCCTAGCCCTTGAGATATTGTCTTAAAAATTGTATGTCTACATTTATGTTGATCTTGCATCATCTAACAATCCCGATGCTTGCT